AGAGAGAGAGAGAGAGAGAGAGAAGCGCGAGTGAACGCGTAAGTGAATATGCGAGGAGCATGAAGCGATACGTAGTTCATAGCGAGCGAGCGATTAGAAAGAGACAGAGCGTGACAGAGCGTATGATTGAGAGAAAAAAGATACTGCAATAATGTTAGTGCGTACATGTATATTACTCTCACACGCATGAAAGAGACGAAGATAGTACGATTATGTCTGTGTTTGTCATGTACGATTGCAGCTCTGTCTATCGCGACATCACGCAACTAATCTACTGCTCTGTTTTACTCTTGAGCCTCCATCTCGCACACACACATATGCACGAAAATTTTATTTTGCAGAATCTTTTTTATAAAGCTTCTAAACTCACTTCTCTAAGCTCACTTATACTCTTTGATGAAATGCCGAGTGCGGGGTTTACTGATTAGGCACGTGCAGATTACAAATCTTTTATATTAAGTAAATGTTGACGGCACAGGCCGATAACTAAACTGTAATTTTATCATTTTTTTCCACTTTTCATATGAAATGTTAAACTCCGCCTTCCGTTATTATGTATACTTTAATTGTGGAAAAGGATTTTTTGATATCTATAATCAACAAAAAGATTTTGCAAAATAAAGTTTTCATCGGTAAAACAGACCCTTTGGGATCCCCTTAAGATATACACAATAGTTTATTCCTAAGATGAGCGCCGCCTTCACACTCACGATTCATCAAGCTCGACCAAGAAGTATCATTGTTGACACGCACTAACCGCACCTCAATTTATTCACCGTTGCTTTAACTTCACCAACTCACGCACATGCATGGCCCTCTGCCACCCACGATAATTAACTTTTCACTCGCAGTAATTCTTACATAAAATTGAACTAAAACCGCTCATCTAATAAATTCATGAATTGCAACACGCTCGTACGTAACTGTAAACAAAACGCAATACAATGAATGAATGAGCTATACTCCCCGCACTCCCGCTCGCCACCCCGCTTCACTCGATCACTCATTCCAGATCGAACGCGCTAATCAATCGGATCATAGGCCAAGTCGCGACACCTGTTCCTTAGCGCGCGAATTTATTTCGGCACGGAGTGCCGAGGCGGGCGGGAATGTTTGAGATTGCATTAAATTAAATGTAAGTGAATTTCTTCGTTTGGAACATGGGCTTCGCATTATTATTCCATCGCGATCAAAGTCAAAAAACAATATTCTTATCGCTATTATTATTTAAGGTTTTTTGGTGTTTTTTGACTTTTGAAGCCCATGTGACAAACAAGTTCAACACGAAAACACGCAAACAACTTTGTCGGTTAGCCGCGCGATAAACGGCTGCCGGCACGCGCGAGGCCGTGACGTAGCCCGTGACGTACGGGCCACCGGCCTATCACTCGCTCCGAATCTCATCTCGCGCCGATAATTCAAGGGGCGGCCAATAAAGTTTGGCGCCGCGTTGAATCTTCGAACCGAACTCGGAGGTTCAAACTTATTGGCAGCGAGAGATTAAAGAAGCGCTATAAAAGGGCCCGCTCGTGAGGAGCGAGACACACTCGCAATTTCGCGAAGAGTACCGCTAGTTACACCGCTTGTAAAACCGCTCTGATATCCGCTTTTCGCTTAACACTCAAATTTACGACGACCGCTTTTCTCTTTTGTGCTACGAATATAACTGCCCGCTTACTTTTTACTGAACCGCAATTGCTTAACGAAACGGAACTTTTGTCACAAGTCTTTGTAATTGTTATTTATTTTTGCAATAAAACGTGTAAAATTGTACTCGCTGTACTGTCGCTCACTGTTGTTACCAGATCTTTTCTCGCGCTCAAGTCAGCAAGTCGCTTTCGAACAAGGTTTCTTTTTTTTTATAAAATATAATTATGGATAGAATATTTAAATAAAAATTTAATATATATATAAAAGTTATAATTGTTCTTTTTATTTTACACAAACATATAATTAAATATAGTTTTTTTCAAGTCACACTTAATTCGTCTTTCTGTCTTTCAATATGTATGCAAAGAAAGCCAAAATATACATATACTACGTATATATACTGACAAACGGATTAATAAATTAAAGCGATTAAAATTTTGTTGCAATAAGCAGATATATATACAAAATTTCAATCTACTTACTCGATAGGACCAAATATATTTTCAGCAGATTCAAATATAACATTAATAACCTTATAATGTTATTATATCTTGACGTCGCGAACATTAACCTTATAACGTTATTATATCTTGACATCGCGATGCTACCGCGTACCACTTGATACGTATCATATACGTATGCACGCACATACACATTGGCCGCGTTCAGCAGAGAAAGCGCTCAGTTATCGTCTTGTCAACACTTGACGTTGATTCGTTGGTTCTAAAAGTATGAACCAATCACATTCGATTGCTACTAAGCGGTTTTCTCTGCTGAACGCGACCATAGACATA